CTTCATCGTGTCCTGGCTCCAGTCGCTGAGCAGCAAGCCCGACACGGGGATGTCGCCCACCCACCAGGACTTGAGATTCACGTGATGGCGGTAGAAGGAGAACTTCTCCGAGAAGTTGCCGTGACAGTGCAGGCAGCCGCGGGCCAGCGCCGCGGTCAGGCCGAGGCACAGCAGCAGAGCCATGGCCCGCCCGCCAACCAACCAACGGCGCCTCCCGCGCCACGCCCCCAGCGCCGGCCTCGCCCGCGCAACGGACAACGGGCTGCACCGGCCCCGCCTCCGGCCCCGCCCCCACGCCGCGCCCCACGCCCGCGCGCACGGCACGCGCACGCGCACGCTCTCCCTTCTGGGCTGGCCCTGTCTCGCGGACCCGCTCGCGCTCCTGGCACTGCGCCAGCTCCACCGGCCGGCCTTGAGCCCCTGGCCCGGGCCAATGACGTCACCGCCCGTTTCCGGTTGCCCGGCAACAGAGAGCGCAGCGGCGGGGAGCATTCCCCTCCCCCCGCTCTAGGCCTCGCCCCCTCCGGCTCCGCTTCCGGGGAGGCCTAGGCCGGTAGCGGAAGTGGACCTGGCTGGGCGGGGCGGCGGGGGCGGGCCGTGGGCGCTGTTCCTCCTGGGCGGCGGAGGGGACCGGACGGAAGACGCCGGACGCGGGGCAGGCGCGAGACCCGCCCGACCGGTGGGGGCGTGAGACCGCAGGTGGGTCCTCCGAGGGACGGACGCGGGCGGCGGGGAGGCCGGGTCCCTGGGGAGCGGCGGACGCGGGCGGCGGGGAGGCCGGGTCCCCGGGGAGCGGCGGATGGGAGAGGTACGATGGGCGTGAACTTTTGCCTATCGCACACCCCGCGAGTCCACTTGCACTTTCTGGTTGTGGACTTGATTCTGGACACATGGTCCCAGCCAGCTGCTTCCTCATCCCTGCCTTCTTCCACCCCACATAAAGTTCGGGGGCTCCTATTGGCCCGGTTACAGGTTCAGCCGGGAGTGGTAACAAAGGTCCCAGGCCTGGCCAACGTCAGGACAGGGCCCTGCAGTCTCCCCCAGGTCCTGACCCCCGTGCTTGCGAGTTGACACGCTCAAGACTGCTCAACCCCTGCGTGTTTGGGGTCGCCTGGGGGTGGTCTGTAATCTACAGATTCCCAATGGGGTGCAGCAAGTGAAGTGCCCGCTGCCCCTGCCCCATTCGGGCGCCCGCCTCCTCCCCTCCCTGCTGGGGGCACCCACCTCAGACAACAGCCACGCATCACTCCAGTCTCCCCACACGTGGCTTCCTCTCTCATTCACCCCTCCAGAGCCGAGCTGTCCCGTGCCACAGCCGCTGGCCATGTGTGGCCAGTGTGCACTTGGAACGTGCCTCGTGCAAACTGGGGTGTGCCGCACGTGCCAAATACAAGTCTTGGAGACAAAGTCTGTTTAACAACAAAAAGCAAAAGGGGTCTGTGACGTTTTGTGTCCGTTAGGTGTCGAGATGTATTTGGCATTTTGGGGCTAAATGCCATACGGTATTAACAGCGACTTCACCTGCTTCCTGTCACTTTTTCGCTTTTCACTGAGGCTCCTGGATAATTTGAAACTGTGCCTGTGGCAGATGTCACATTTCTAGTGCTTTTTCTGACATCCTGTCCGCGGATGTGTATCCAACTCCTGTTTCCCAGGATTCGTTGTCCGCCGCGGCTTTAGGTGTTTCCTAAATAGAGTTAACTATTGGAAGATTTAACCAAATGCTTGGTGGATCGTAATTGAATCAACCTTACTCATAATTTTAAGTCGAGTTTATTTTTTTAGAGCAGCTTTAGGCTCACAACAAAACTGAGTGGAAGGTACAGGAAATTCCCATAGACTCCCTTTCCCCATAAACGCACCGGCGGCCCCATTATCGACATCCCCACCCAGCACCGAACGTGACGAACCACGGTCCACAGCGGACACGTCACTCCTGGTGCGGCACACCCCGTGGGTTCGGACGAATGTCACGGACACCTGCCCACCACCACGGTGTCGTCCGGAGTAGACCCACGGCCCCGAAATTCCTGTGCTCCCCCCATTCACCCTCCCCCACCCCGGCAGCCGTGCCTCCGTGGTCCTGCCTTGTCCAGAACATCCTGGACTTGGAACCACCCCGTGTGTCGCCTCCTCAGCCTGGCTTCTGTCACCCAGTGCTGTGCGTCTGAGGCTCCTCCGTGTCTCTGTGTGGCTCGATGGCTTACTTTTTACTTGAACTTTCGTAAAGGAGAGAGCGCCGTTACCATCTTTACCCCGCACAGCGCTGAGCATGGTGTTCGAGTACCAGACGCCCTTAGTAACCTGACGGGTTGAATTCTAGGTACGCCTCCCTCTGTCTCAGCAGAAGCAAAAGTGGTTATTTTAGTCCCTCAGGGGCTTCTCAGAAATGCCAGTGCCGTTCCCGAATCTTTTCTGAACAGTTTTAAGTCTCTTTGTTTCGTACGTACAAATGCCCCAAAGCCAAGACAGCTCAGTGAAAAGTCAGCCTTTAATCATGTTTCCGGGCGCTGTTCTCCCTTCCCCAGCACTTCATACGGTGGGGGTTTTACAAAAATTCCCCAGGCAGCCGGCTTAGAAGTTGGACTTTTACTCTGGGAAGTTTTAGACACGCCCCAGCTGGAGGGCCCCGTTCCTGATTTCCTAGAATTTCGAGGTCCGGATTGCTTAAGCGAAAAAGGGGAATCCAACGTCAGAAACCCGATTCTGGGAAGGAGACGGGCGTTTCTGTGTCTCCTGAGTTCAAAATAAGACATCTGTGACTGGGTCACTCTGGGGGTGC